GGCCCAGGGCCCACAGCAGGGTGCCTCCCTCACCTTTTGTGGCTTTTCTCCTCGAGTGATTTGGCACAGAAGGCGCGAATCTCAAAGTCGACCCCACAGGCCTTAGGAAGGGGAGAAAGGACCAGTCTTTCACAAGGCTCTCTCCCGATACCACCCCTGCTCGCGCCCCCTTGGGCAGGGACCCTGGCACCCTCATGGTCTGAGGAGCGGGGGAACACAATCTTTGCTCTCCTCTGGCTCCCTGAGCCTTGGCACCTGGTAGAGACTGGGTCCTGGCAGGAGTCTGATGTGAGCAGTGGCCATTCCACAAAGCCAGCTCCCACAGGGCCTTTCCACTGCCCCCAGTCCCACTCCTGTCCCCTCCCTCTTGGGTGTACTCAGAGGCTGTCCCTGGGCGAGCCCGCTAGCTCAGGACGACTGCCCACTTACCTTTCCTGTGTCCTCTGGGCCTGGCTGCAGTGTGACTGAGCAGGGCAGATTCTGGGGGATCTATGGCGGGGGGTGGGGGGGACGGACAACTTTAGTCCCTCTGGAAGCCCCCCTGGACCTTCCTCTCAATCTCAAGCAGGGGGTGGGAAAGGTAGAGGAAGGGACCCTGGGAGGAGGCAGCGAGACTTTCATGCCCAAGGCCATAGCCTCACGGTTCCCCCAGATCTACCCATGACAGCTGCCTCGACCCCAGGCCCCTTGCCCTGTGGAGGGGTGGGGGCATCCTCACTGTGAAAAAGAAGGGGTGGGCATGCTGGCCCAACTTCTTCAGCAGCCGGTCCTGCAGGCGAGTGGGGGGCCGGGGTGGGTTGGGCACTGGGGGAAAGGCCTGGTAGGTGGCGATGAACAGGTCTTTGCGGAAGGACAGGCCCAGTACATCCAGGTCTTCCCGGCCATAGCGGAAGGCGCAGGTGAGGGTCACAAACACTGGTAAGGGAGGGCAAGGTGGGGAGGTCAGGTGGCCCCAGCCCCATTCCATTTTCCACACCCCCAGTACCCTATAGCAGCAGCTCCACCCTTGGGGGACAACCTGCCTCAATCCCGTCCCTCACTTCCGCCTCAGCCTGCCATCTGCCTGGGGCACCTCCTCGACACCAGTCCGTTTCACTTGGGCCCCGCAGCTGGGGTCAGTACCTTTTCGGTCCTTCAAGTAGTCAGGATCCACAAGCACCACACCATCTAGAGAAGGGGGACGCTTTTGTGAGCACACTTCCTGCCAGCCTCTCCCTCATTCCTCACCCCAGGAACGGCTTCTCTTCTGAGGACACTTCCTGGGGAGACTTACCCACGGGGTCCACTTTATCCAGGTGATCGACAAAGTCCCGCTTGCCCAAGTACACGGTGAGCTAAGTGAGGGCGTGGAGCGTTCCAGGGAAGGTTGGGTAGGAGGGTGACAAAACAGTAGAGCCCTCAAAACTGGGTTTCCTGCCCCTGAGTCTTCCCAGGCTGGGGTGCCGGGGAAGAAGCGTTCTCCTGTTTCCCTCCTGGCGGGGTGTCTGAGGCTGCCCAACCCTTAGGCTTCTTGGCAGCTCACTAATCTCTCTTCACACCTCTGCCCATCAGTCAGGTGTGTGTGTGTGTGGGTCCCGAGGGAGGCCTTAGCTCTAAGCAGCCAGTTCAGAGAGCAGCTGTTGGCCTCGGAGGCTTTGGGATAAACAGGCTAGGGGTGGTTCACTTCTCCCAGCTCCAGGCACCGGGGTTGGCTCCTTTCTTGATCTTGCTTAGGGACCCAGGCCTCATTCCACCCCACCCCCACCCCCTCCCTCAGCCCTGCAACCTAGGCAGGGCAGGGAAGGAAGTTAGCTCTTAGCTGTCACAGGAAGTGGGGAGCTAGGGGTTGGGGACCGTCTAGGGACAGGCCAGGCTTTCGTAGGGCCCAAGGAGATAATAAGGTGGGAGACTCACCTTGCAGTTAGGGCTCGACTTCTTGAAGACCCTAACAAAACAGAAAGGGAGACCCCACTGCCTCCCTCAGACTCCCTCACACCAGGACTTTAGCCCCCCCAGCCCCTGGGTGAAGCGGAGCTCACCCAGGACACCTGGCCCCGGGTCTTCTGCCCAGCCCCACCCCTCCTGCAATTCCCAGAAGGAAAGGTAACCACACTCCCTAATACAGTATTGCCAACACAGCAGCCACCACTTGAAGCAGGTGGCCATGGTAAATCCCCCTTCTCTTATCCTGGGTCCATCTTCCCTTGCTTCCCTCCCCCCAAGGTACTGGCCACTGGTTGCCACAGGAACCACCCAGGTTTCCCCAGAAGACTTGAACGGGCAGGTTGCAACAGCATCTATATCAGACTTAATCTTTTTCCATCGTCCCTCATCTCTGCTTGCTGGCTCCTGGGGGCAGTCCCAGCACCAGTGACAGCTCCAACTTGGAAGAGCAATGGCCCTGGCCCTGCCCTTAAAATGGCTTCTAAATCAGGAACTCCCCAAGCCTGACCCGACTCCATTAACCTCTAACTGCTCTGATCTCTGCAGCTTAAAAGCCGATTCATCTTTCATGAACTAGCTCAGATGTCACCTCTTTTGGGGGAAGCAACCCTGGATCACTGTGGTTTCTTTTGGTTCCTGCCATGCCTTGTGTATTTATGCTTTACTTGGGGTGTGATGGCAAACCATCTCATCTCCCTCTCCTTGCACAGGCTGAGTGCTAGGGACCAGTTGTCCGGTGAAGAGGATGAGGCCGGCTAACATTCATTAGGTGACGACTCCCTGCCCGGCATCGCTCCACCACTCTTACCAACCCCGTGATGGAGGTCCTCATCATTTCTACTTTACAAAGAAGGAAACCGAGGCAGGGAAAAGTCAAGTGTTTTGCGTAAGGTCACAGAGTACAAAGGGTGGGGACTTGGATACAAACCACAGGAGCCCTGGTGGTGTCGTGGTTATGTGCTGGGCTGCGATCTGCATGATCGGCAGTTCGAAACCACCAGCAGCCCCTTGGGAGAAAGGCTGGGCCTTCTATTCCTGTAACAGTTACAGTCTCAGAAACCCACGGGGTGGGGGGTGGGGTGTTGCTATCAGTATTGATGGCAGTAAGATATACGAACCGAGGAAACCTGGCTCCAAGTCCATGATCATCATCAACATCACTAAGCTGTTATGCTACCTTGCCTCTGTAACCAGCATTAAACATTGGAAAGGAATGGGATTTGCTTCCCAGCGCTTGCCTGGGAGGGTAGGGAAGTCTGGCTCTGGCGTAAGTCTGTGGGTCTGTTCTTCGCCTTACAACTTTATTCCTCCCAATCCACTGAGCTGCAGCAGCCTTCCCTGAGGGCACAAATCGAAATCTGGCCACTTGGTCTATCCTTCCTCCAACCCCACTGCCCAGTTTCTGCCATAACCACACCTCACCTGTTACCTCCTTCCCCCAAAGGCCGAGCAGTCCAAGGATACGGAGGCCCCAGGGACCTCCAACCACCCGGGAAAATAAATCACCAACGCAGCGGCCGCTGATGAGCACTGCTACCTCTCGTCCCAGTATGGGCTCATTGCTACGGCAACGTCCAGGCTCTCCCTCCTCTTTGACCTCAGTGGCTTCTGATTTCCCATTTGGTCCCAGTGTTTCCTCCCATTGGGAGTGCCCACAAAGGGGTGTGACAGCCAAAGCTAGCTGGCCAACAGTGTAGTGCTTGGAGCAATTGCCTGTAAGCAGCTGCAGGGCACCTGCCCTTTGGATCCTAAACCTGCCAGGTTAGGGAGTAGCAGTGCTGTTCACTGAATGCGGTCAAGGAGGCGGGGTTCAGGGTGACCCAGTGAGGCAGTGGATGGGGGAGACAAGAGAAGCAGATGCCCCTCACACTTCCTGCTATTCTCTTCACTTCCTGTGGCCTAGAATTTACTGGTGGTAGTGGTAGGGATTGTGCCAAGTCAGCAGTCCCCCTTTAGTCCATCCATCCTCTCCTCTGAACCGCATAACGGAAACTGGGGGCCTCCTTCAAGTCAGCGACTTCTCCATTCTCTGGGGTGGTTAACCCCTAACCCAGGATATCAGTCCTCCCTCACTCTAATTGTCTCTCTTCAATACTGGCTGAATCCATGCTCAGAGACCCGTGTTCTCAGACTCCAAGGAGCGGGGAGTGGTGAGGCTCATAGGACACTCTGCAGAACAAGTGGACAGCTCATGTAGGACCAGGCCTTCCTGCCTCTCGGTTGAGACATATAGCTCCAACCTGGCCTTTTTTGCTCCTGTTCCCTGGGGACGCAGGCATTCGTCCCCTGCTCCCTTTGGGGGTGTTGGGTCACAGGAGGAAGTGGATTTTGCTAGAGACCAGAAAAAGAGAACTCGGGGTGTCGGTGGAAGGAGCCTCGATTGCACAGAAAACATCCGGGGAGTGGATGCCTCCAGGGCAGACACTGCCCACCCCACCTAGGGGCCGAGGGGTAAGGCCAAGAACTAAGGAGGGTCACCCCACACTCCGCTAAGATGAAGCTGCTGCTCCAGCAACGCAGGGAAGGCAGAAGTTTGGAAAAGGAGTCACCTAGACCTCAGAGCGAGCCTTTCTCTTAGCTCAGCACGCGTCGGGGGGGGGGGGGGGGCTCCCCTCCCAACGTCCAGTCTTCCCAAATACGACTCAAGGCTGGCCACCTGCTCCTGTTCTCCGCCCCTGCATCACAGCCTGCACGGGGAACCCCAGCCTGCACGGGGAACCCCAGCGTTCGCTTCCCCCATTCCCCTGCGGGAAGCCAGACTACCAGTTCCTCACTCCTTTCAGCCTGCCTCCCTCCCTGCAGGGGCCCATGCCTGGGCCCCCATCCTTCTCTAGGACCTAGGCGTGCGACCCCGGAGATGGCTGCCCCGAAGGGACCCAGGCGTCCAACCCCACGGATGCTCTCTCCGGTGTCCTTGTCTGAGGATCACCTCGGTACCCACTCGAGCCTCCACCCAAACCTCACCGCGTGGTCCCACCTCCCTTACCTGGTCCCGGGTTTCTCCCCCATGGTGCGCGCGCCCGCCGCCCGCAGGGTTCGGAGCTAGCTCGCAATCTCCCCGCCCGCTGCCAGGTCCCCGCTCCTCCCCACGCCAGCGCGCACGCGCGGCCCCCGGCGTTTTCTCCTCCCTTCCCCCCCGCCCCCCGGGGAACCGGGGCCAGATGCGTCAGCCCTGACGGCGCGCGCCGCGGCACCACCCGCCCCCTCTGCGCACACGCGCGCGGTGATTGGCTCTGCCGCACCGCCGTCCCGCCCTCTCCGGCGAACTCTCCAGCGCGCGCGCGATTCCAACGCCCGCCTCGCTCTTCCCGCCCATCTCCCCGCCCCTGCACATTCCCGGAGCCACTGATTCGGTTCCCCTAAACGAAGGTTCCCGCCTTCCAGGAATGAGAGCCCTCTGATTGGTTTCCGGAATCCAGCCCCCTCCTCCCCTCTAAAGGGTCCCCTCCCCTTTGTTTGCTTTCATTGCGGTGCGGTAGTGGAGGCGTGGAGGGTGGTGGGGGCGGTAGAGGAAGCCGGAGCTCCGCTTGGGAAGGAGTAGCAGGGGTGGGCATGGAGGGGAGAGTGGCACACGTGGGTGAACGGCTACAATTGCGCAATACTCGCCCTTTGGCCCCGCCTTCCGGCTTCTTAATTGTGGTGGTTCAGCTCCCTCTGCTGTCTGTTTTCTCTCTGTGCGGACTCCCTTGACCGCGCTCGTTCCACTACCCGTCCCAGCTTCTATCCTCTCATCCTACTTTGTGTGAAATCCTACCAGCCGGCAAGGAGAAGCTAGACTTGAGTTAGCCTGGACCTTTGCGTAGTGGTTAGCTGTTGGGCAGCTCACTTCAAGGTCAGCAGTTCCAAACCTCCATCCTCTTCCCAGGCGGAAAGATTTCTACTTCCATTAGGAGTTACCTTCACAAGAGCAGTTCTACCTTGTCCTGTAAGTCATTATGAGTCGCATCCATTTGATGGCAGTGAGTTCTTTGATTTTTTTCTCCCACCTACCTATCTTCCTTTTTTTTTTTGGTAATCGCTCATACAACTCATCACAATCCATACATACATCAGCTGTGTAAAGCACATTTGTATATCCGTTGCCCTCATCATTCTCAAAACATTTGGTTTCTAGTTGAGCACTTGATAGCAGCTCCTCATTTCCCCCCTCCCTTCCCCCTCCCCTCCCTCATGAACCCTTGATAATTTACAAATTATTATTTTGTCATCTCTTAGACACTGTCCGACGCCTCCATTCACCCACTTTTCTGTTGTCCACCCCCAAGGGAGGAGGTTATATGCAGATCCTTGCAATGGGTTTCCCCTTTCCATCCCACCCTCCCGGTATCACCACTCTCAGCACTTGTCCTGAAAGGATCATCTGTCCTGGGTCCTGGATTCCCTGTGTTTCCAGTTCCTGTTTGTACCAGTGTACATCCTCTGGTCCAGCCAGGTTTGTAAGGTAGAACTGGGATCATGATAGTGGGATGAGGGGAGGAAGCATTTAGGAACTAGAGGAAAGTTGTATGTTTCATCATTGCTACACTGCACCCTGACTGGCTTGTCTCCTCCCCGGGAGCCTTCCTAAGAGGGATGTCCAGTTGCGTACAGATGGGCTTTGGGTCCCCACCGCACACCCCCCTCATTCACAATGATATGATTTTTTGTTCTTTGATGCCCGATACCTGATCCCTTCGACACCTCGTGATCACACATGCTGCTGTGCTTCTTCAATGTGGGCTTTGTTGCTTCTGAGCTAGATGGC